TCCTCCTCCGCCCACTCCACCACACCACCACTCAAACAGGGTTTTGGGGTTCAGGTGCACTACTGAGCTACGGGGAGAATCATCCATCTCCGTGGCTGGTGGGGTCCTGGGCCCTAATTTTAATATACAACCTAGACACTCACTTATAACACTCTCACGACACATGCATATATAGGATCTGGAGTGGGCACATGATCGCACTTAGGTGGTGGGATGTACTACCATTTCCACCTCCCCGGACCTGTGCCCACTCTCATATGTAGCATGTAGACATTTAGGGTTCTGTGCGGAGATGAGGGGTGAACGGGCGCCGCCTGCTCTCTGGGCAAGAGGTGGGTCTGTGCCGGTCGCCACCTCATCCCCCCATTTTAAACGCACTGTATAACAACATGCATCAACACCATATTCGAGTGGGAGGAGGAGGAAGTGGGTCTGTTCATAATTTATTTATGCATATATAGATTTATTTATTTATTTTATTTTATTTTTTATTTTTTTTATTTTTATTTTTTCCCCTTTCACAAACACCTCCTTTCCCCGTGTGACACTAGGGGCCGGGATGGAGGGGGGGGGGGGGGCATTGTTGGGGTCTGGGCTGTGGGTGGGCTTTGGGCCTTGGGGGCGGTCAGTGTTGGGGCCGGTGCTTCGGTTCCTCCTGGGCTGTTCCGATTCTTTTAATCTAGGTTCCTGGTTGCGATGGCCGGCGCTCTGACCGGGGTGGCTACCGGCTTTTGGCGGGGGGTCGGCTATGGTAGTGTACCTGTGGTCATTGGTGGTGTAGGGCGGCGGTTGGGGGCGTGGCTTCGCCTCATCCGGGCACTGGCTGGTCTTCCTGTGTGGCATTTGCGGTGGGGGTGCTCTGTGTGTGGGGGGGTGCATGGGTGGCGTGCTGGGGCGTCTCCGGGCCTATGGTGCGGAGCTCTTGATGTGAGAGCCGGCCCTCCTCGGCTGCGGCTCCCTGCTGCTCTGCCCCTTGGGCTGGGGCCGGCCTGTGGTCGCTGTCAGGTAGATGGTGCATGCGGTCGGCCCGACAGAGATTCTGTCGGGCTATCTGTGTGTGCCTGTTGGTTGCTCGGGTTGGGTTTTTGGTGGTCCCCCCTCTCTTGGATCAATTTGGGCCCCACGTTTGGTGTGGGGTCCACTCCCCCCGGTCGTGCCCCCCTTTGGCGGGGGACTCCCTTGCCGCCGGTGCATTGGTGGCTCTCGGTGTCTGGGCTGGGTGGTGGGGTGCACGTCGGTCCGCCCTGGTTGCTGCCTGGCGGGGCCTGGGTGCCCTGGCTCTGTCGGGGCTCTGCTAGGGGGTGGTATGGCCTCGGGGCTTGGGGCTCGGTGTCCATGGCCGGATCTACTTGGGGGGGGCATGGGTCGCTGGCCGGGCCTGTGGGCTCGTCGTTGCAGCTTCCTGGAGGCTCTGCATTGTAGTGGCTGGGGTCACCCGGTTCTTTCCTCTGCTCCTCTCTGGGGGGGTGCGGTTCTCCCTGTTGGGAGACTCTTGGGGCTCTGGGCCTGTGGGCCGCTGTGTGTCTGTGGCTCCGGTCCTCCCTATGTTGCCATTGTGTCCTGGGGGGGCGGGTCTGTGGGCCCCCGCGTCCACTATTGGGCATTCTTTTGGAGAAATCTGGTGGTGGTGGGCGTGCTTGCGCGGGTGTTTGGATTCAGGTGCTTTGACAGATGCACGCTAGGTTGGGTAGTGGCGGAAGCTAGATGATTCATTGTGCGATGTCGAATGTTTCATGGTGATATTGTGGGTGGCATTGTGCTGTGCATGTTGTTTTGTCATGGTGGTCTCTCGTCTTATCTTCTTCTTTTTTATTATTTATTTATTCTTCTTTCTTCTCTTTCTTTAAAAAAAAATAATAAAAAAAAATAAAAAATAAAAAATTGAGCGATGATGATAAGTTCATTGAAACACTTCACAATGCTTCTACACTTAAACTGAGCTCACAAAATAAAAAATAAAAAATAATAAAAAATAAAAAATAAAAAAAAAGAAGAAAAAAAAAATTAATCTCTCTGATCCTTTCTAAACCCTTTTGTAAAAGTGTGTAATTTTTTTACCACCTTTTTGCAAACAAAACACTGTGGAGGTGGTTGTTAAATGTAGCACCTCAAAAACCTCAACACTCGCTCCTTGAGGATAGATGGTGCTTTAAATATCTATTTAAAAGAGGAGAGAATAGACGATAGCTCACTTATACATTTATCCTACTGCACTTAGCAAGTCTGAAAGCCTTCATAAATTATGGCGCTCCTGCTTCCTCTAGGTTATCAGTGCTGGAAAATTAGCTTTTAAAATGCGGTTTGAAATCCATTTAGGTGATTGATGGGTGATGGGACTAATAAATTTTGCCAGTTTCTAGAGGGCCGACTCCAAGCAATTCTTTATGGATGTCATGAAGCCAGACACATTGGATGTGTGAAATAAGGAGGTCTCAAACCAGTTCTGCTCAAGGGATCATATTGGATAGACAATTTGTTACACAGATAACACAGACAACTATCTATTTTATTGAAGAGCAGGATTTCCATTTTCTTACCAATATTAATCATATGTCAAGTGTTTAAGTGATTACCTGAATTCTTAAAAAGTAAATAATGTAGGGCTCTTTCAAGGCAATAGTTATGTTCTTAGTCTTTAAGTGTTGCATAAATGAGAACAAAAGCTACATTACAATTTTATCAAACACTCCTGAGTTATTTAAGTAAAGAGAATACAAACAATGACAAAATATTATTCATCATCTCCAAAGTTTTGATTGTCTGTTGACAGGAACGTGCTTATCAGTGGGTTGATGCCATACTGAATGTTGAAATTTATTTATTTATGCAGCTGCAGATCTCCATTAGCTCTAAGCGATTTCTGAACCATTTATTTTCATATTTTACCTTCAAAACTAAACTTCAACAATTCAAATCCAATGTTGAACTGACACAGATTGCTATTTACTGACTTTGCACAAAAAAAAAAAACAAAAAAAAACATATTTGCACAACTCCAATAGATTCCCATCTGACTCGCTTTTTGGTCATTGCAACTTGAGGGTTTTATTTATTGTAGAGTTTGTTCCCCATAAAGATATTTTGGCTTAAAGTAAAACTGCACTCAAATTAGCACGTTAGGCAACGCACATAAAAGCAAATGCAGTTAATACTATAATAAGGAAATCTTCAAAGAACAGATTTATCCCCCACCAGCATTTGCTCTCGACTTGCTCAAAGAATTAGAGGACATAATCGTTGACAATAATCACCCAGTTGCCTGCAGTGGATTTACATTTTCTCATGCTGTGTAATCTTGCGTTTACACTATCATTTACGTAGGTGTATCTTTTCCATCCACTGACATCTATCTTTTTCCCTGCTAAGCTTTGAGCATGATTGGCAAGGGACTAGCGGCAAGGGACTAGCTCAAGGCATTCAGCCTTTGCTTCGCACACTCCAGCACGATAGTTGGTGAACACAGCATCTTCAATTGCATGCACACACTCAAATGTGAACATTTGATTGATATTTTACTGAAACTGAGCCCTTGTTGCTGTCAAAGCCCAGCTAAGTCTCCTGAGCCTCTTGATTTCTGACATTAGTAGATAATATATTCACGGAGCAGCGAGGCTGTATTTTGTGAAGTGATCCCCTGTAACACTTTAATCTGTTTAGACTTCTTCAGAACCGTGGCTGAGAAGAGAGCAAAAAGTATACAATGAAATACAAGGCTGCCTGCCAAGATCTGACTGTAACCACCACACTCTGAAAAATATCCTGTGGGTTTTGAACACAACACTCTTTGTCCAAGTCTTTATTTTGGGCTTTGGATGTTTTTTGACTAGTTTATTTATTTATTTATTTAGTTTTTTTTAATCAAGCCAACATTTTACATGATAATAAAAATATACATTGTAAAATTACAATTTTGTTTGTTTGCTTGTTTCACAAAAGCTTTTATGTCTATATGGGTCATATATAGGTATTTTACACATTTAATAAAGACATTCAGGTGAGCATGCATCAGGACATTCAGGTGATGTTTGTCAAATCGAAGTTGAATGGTGCCTTTTTTGTTCACATTTATTGTAATTTAAAATAAGAATGAAGAATGTGCAGTTTTATGTAATTGGCCTTGATTTACTGTCAGCTGCATTCCAGTTTGTTTTTTAAAATCTTTTTTTTTTTTTTTTTTTTAGTGTATGTGTGTGTGTGTGTGTGTGTGTGTGTGGGGGGGCGTCTTAAAGGAAACATAAAGGCCTTGAAACAACTCCAGCCAGTGCATGGTGGGGGTGGGGTGGGGGGGATAGCAACAGTTAGAAAACCTATGCTTGTCCCAGTGCTTAATGGTTTTCTTTAGCTGCAAGCAATAAAATTACCCCAGGTCCTCACTTATGTTGGAATAATCATTTACAAAGATGGTTACCACATGCTGGAACTGTTTTCTTCCCCCCTTCTTTATGGCTCTAATTCACTGTTATTAATAATGAATATAAATGCAATTTTCAATTGGGTTGCTCCAGGGCCCTGGGAATCATTTCAATGAATATTTCAACACATTATTTTAATCATGGCTCCACATATGCAGCAAAGGGGGCTTGTTTTATAGGCTCATGCTTCAGCTGCCTCGAGACTCTGATCATTAAACTCTGTTTCTGTCTGCAGCGAGGCTCTCCTACCTTTGATTTACAGGACGTGTTAAAAAAAAAAAACATTGTAAAAAGAAGGCAAGCTGTGCCATTTATACTTGTAATTTGAAGCTGTATTTGTAAATGAGAGTGTCTGTGATTTATGTGTGCAGTGTTTGCTGCTACTCCCCGCTGTTATGATGCTAAAGCCTTTAGCAGAATTAACGTTACGAAGGCCTCTAAAGCATGCCTCAGTCAAACAAAGTTCACTATCTCTGGTCAGATTGCTTTTTGTGTGAAAAAAAGAATGACATTATCTGCTGTAATCTGATCATCACTGAGGCACGTGGGTGCTGTCTAACCTGCCATGTCCTCTTTACCCTGTCACAGTCAGCTGCATGACTTCTGGCGTCTCGACTACTGGGAAGATGACCTGCGACGGCGGAGGAGATTCGTCAAAAACCCATTTGGCTCCACCCACTTAGATGTTCCCTGCAAGTTGTTGCAGGAATATGGTGAGTGGACCATATCTCTGTTGAAATGTTGTATACATTGAAATTCATGCGAATTGTTGCATTTTACACACAGTCCTTTTTACCATTGAAGCATATGTTTCACATTCAAAGCTGTAGCTTGTTCATGCATGCTGCTTTAGAGAAGGTTTATGGGAACACATTAAAAGGACATATTATCTCTCTGCTTTTACGGTTTTCTTCCTTTTAACTTAAATGTTCTTTATTGACCCAGGAAGTTATGCAGTGTTACCCACCAACTAGTATCAATTCAGCTCTAAATCTTTCAGCTCAGACTTCAAAAGAAAACTGCTCAGTGGTATCAAAATCTATGTCCTTCTGCCTCTAATGGAACAGCAGAGCTGTAAAGTTTAATTATAATATTATTAAAGAAGGCAACATTCATCTTGGCCAGGTTTACTTTTTGACTAAAGCTCTTAATACATGTAATACATGCTCTTAATACATTGAGAAAATGTTAGATCTCTTGTTTTAGTGTTGAATTACTGGAGCAGGCTGTTTGCTCAGTTCTTCATATCATCTGGTTATTCTCAGCGTTTGCTCTGCCAAAGATGGTGGCTTCCACATGCACATCATGGCAGCTTTGTAGATAAATACTTGCCAGCTGTTGTTACAGCAGCAGGTGGTCCACATATAAAACGCACACAATAATTACACCTTCTGCTTTAGATTTTTGTTCATTCCTTTTGAGTTTTTCCAAGATAAAAGACAATTTTGCTGACTTTGAGAGACGTGTTTATTCATCTGTTGAAGGAATTCAAGTTGAGAAGCTATTTTTAGCGGTTTTGACTTGCTTTGAGAAAATAAAGGCTTTTGAACACCAAAGTGTTATTTTTATTTTATTTTTATTTTTAATCGCACTGGATTACATCAACATTACCTTTTGCAGTAAACGCGTAAAACTAATCAAATATCAATAAATAATTCTTCCATTCTTGCTGCATTCTACTTCTCGTCGTTTACTTCACAGCAGTAGTTCGTCGTGGGACGTGCAGTTACTTTAAATGATAAATGGGTGTATTATCTTCTTTAGAGACGAGTCAGTTTGCCTGAATTTTTTGTCTGACATAAGTTTTTTTCTCATGTTTAACTCATCGCAGTTGGCTAAATTATTGAGGTCTTGTTGGCGTGTGTTAGTTTTAATGAGCAGAATTATGTATAAACTTGTCAAGTGAAAGAGATCGCCTGCAGTGAGATGCTCTCTGTGAGAGGTGAGCGGCTGTTTCCTGCAGGCTTTGATCTGGCTGCACGGCAAACGCTTTGCTTACAAGTTAAATTGTAACTTTTTGTTCTTAGTTAGGGCTTCAGCTGTTTTAGTTAGCTGAGACAATATGTTTGTTGGGTCGTTTTAGGTGTATTGTGACTTTTTTTGTAAAGTTGTTTTTCTATATTTTAATTATCACTGTACTGATGGCTGGAGCCGACAGCCATGTTGCAGAGGTTCAGAGGTTGTTTGCTGATTATTTTTAATGTCCAGATTTTTTTTTTCTTTTTTTTGTTTTGTTTTGTTTTGTTTAATTTTGATGTATTATTTATTTATTTCACAGAAGGTTGGAGGGCCTATAGGAGGCTGCAAGTGAAGAGCAATGACTTTCAGGATTAAGCAAAGAAAACCTTAGGTTCTATAAAAAATAATGGTAACACTTTACAATAAGGTACACAATATTTGATTAACTAATAGGGAATGCCTCAGGAACGAATCAAGAGCTAATGAGTAGTTAACCAGTACTTACTGGGGAACACACAGCCAAGCCTTATTACGGGACTACTGGTTTGTTATCACAGAAACAGGAGAAATTATCCATGTGGGTTCTGAATAAACCCTGCACCAGTGAGGTCACAGCTTGTAATTGTCAAAAACCCATTTCCTATTGATTACTGATTTTTTATTTTATTTTCTCTTTTTTTTGTAAAATTTGAAACGATGAAGAAACGTTTTGTATGGATCTTTAAGTGAAAAGTTACTTAATTTTTCAAATTCAAATGTTGACGTTTCTGTGCCAGAAATTATAAACTGCATGGGGGCGGGGCGGGGAGGGTCGGTTAACTTTTTTTTTTGCAAGAGTCTGCGCAGTTTTTTAAGATTTTTTTAATATATTGGCCTAACCAGTGTAATAGTGTGATCTTTCCGAACACATTTTGTGCAATGTGTGTGTGCGTGCATGTGCACAATGATGGGAGGTTAAAGTCTGCCTCCTTGTCTATTAGCAGCACTGACAGCTTAGCTTGCACATTCTGTCTCTGCCCTTTGCCTGTAATAACCCACCGTGTAACACCCAGCGTCCACCCAGTATCAGACTATATTGTTAGGTGATTGGAATAGGGCAAGCATGAAATGGAAGTCACGTTAATATTGATCCAAATGTTTAACGGGGTGTTTTACCTCCGGGAGTCCTTGCTGTCTCATTTCAGGTGAACAGTTTCAGGATTGCACCAGGCAGAGATCTTTATAGCTTTTTACTTCTGCAGATGCAGCCTTGTGATGTCAAATTAACCTTTTCCAGCTTTATTGTTAAATACAATAAACTCTGCCAATTGACGCTGATGATGTCTGCCAATGATCTTAGCCCTTGCAGGGATAAAATGCACACAAAGTGTTAGGTTTAAATGTAGAGAATTTTAGACAATGTCCAGTTTTTTAGAGAGGGAAGTTGAGATCGCTGTGTGTCAACACAGACTCGCATTGCACAAACTGTACCACAGTGCTGGATGAAGATCAGATTAACAGGAAACGTCTGCTCTGTATAAACTACCTTACATCAGAGTTATAATGTTTAGTTTCACAACTTCAAAATATGTTCAAATGTCTCCCATCACAGGAAATTTAAATATGTCGTTTTTCCCTCATTTCATTTCTCAGCACATAAGAAGAAAAACCCAGGAAAGAATTGTATCATCCTAGTGGTAATGCAACCTTATGAGCAGAATTATTATTATTTTATTTTTTTTATGTTTTTTTTTTATTCTTCTTTTCTTGGAATGTGAATTTTTCAATTTTTTGGAATTTCAGGTGGATGTGAAACCTCTATCCATTCATTCATTATCTTTACCCTCTTCTTCCTTTACGGGTCATGGGGGTCACTGGTGCCCATATCCAGCTAGCACTGTGTGAGGGGCAGGGGACACCTAGGTCTCCAGTCCATCACAGGGCCGCATAGAGACAAATGAGACAAACAACCATTCACTCTCTCACTTACACCTAGGGACAATCTAGAGTTACCAATCAGCCTAACATGCATGTTTTTGGTTTGTGGGAGGAAACTGGAGTACCTGGAGAAAACCCATGCATGCACAGAGAGAACATGCAAACTTCACCCAGAAAGGTCCCGGGACAGGATTTGAACCATTGACATGCTCACTGGGAGGCAGCAGCTCTACCAACTGTGCCACCCTGCCACAGATTTGGAACAGAGTTTGGAAAAAGGAAGAGGTATATAGTAGCCCTTTGTTTATTGCAGGGGATCAGTACCCTGAAGCCCCACGATAAGTGAAAAACCACTAAGTAGGAATAGGAGCACAAGTAGTAAGTAATAGTTTATATTAGTTTGTGTGTGTGTGTGTGTATATATATATATATATATATATATATATATATATATATATATATATATATATATATATATATATATATATAATGGGTTTTAAACACTTCCCACACTCTTGCAGTATTCAATGTTTCAAAATTCTAAAGCTCTAAAAGAGCACAGAATCCCATGATTTCAGCTCCCTGCCTCATCTGCTCTTTGCCACCTGCAAGCGCTCTTGGCCACGCCCACTTCTCTGTTCTGCACGGAGAACAACTGATCAGCTGCAGCAGATGCTAAATAATTTAAAATTTATTTTAAATAAAAATTCGATGCTGGGCCAGCACGGTGGCACAACTGGTAAAGCTGCTGCCTCTCAGCGAATAGGTCCCCTGTTCAAATTCTGGTCCGGGTGCCTTTCTGGGTGGAGTTTGCATGTTCTCTCCGTGCATGCGTGGGTTTTCTCCGTGTACTCCAGTTTCCTCCCACAGACCAAAAACATGCATGTTAGGCTGATTGGTAACTCTAAATTGTCCATAGTTGTGAGTGAGAGAGTGAATGCTTGTTTGTCTCGTTTGTCTGTGTGTCCCTGTGAAGGACTTGCAACCAGTCTAGGGTGTACCCCACCCCTCGCACAGTGATTGCTGGACATGGGCACCAGCGACCGCCATGATCCCAAGTGGAAGAAGCGGGTAAATGATAATGGATGGATGGAAAAATTCCATGCCTATCATGTGGCTCATCCATCAGTCAGCCAATTGTGTGTCATGTCCAATCTTATTTTGAAAAACCGTGATAGAGCGAGTCCGCAATACACAAACTGCAAAGTAGCGAGGGACTACTGTATTTAAAACATTTTACCATTCTCCTAAATTATTGATTAGTGCAAGAAAATACTAAAATTGTGGAAACAGCTGATACACATGCCAAACAGATCTTGCAGAACACAGAATGAAAAAATGCATGAAAAACCCAAGAGACCAGATCCTGACATGAGAAAGGAACTTCTTTAATTAACAGAAAAAATGTCCGGTTGTCTTATTTCAAAGTATTTGAACGAAAATCCAATATTCTTTCTTTATTTAATTTGGTTCATTCATTCATTCATTCTTGCATTTGTTTATTTATTTATAAGTCTGATGAAAAAACAAGTGCACACAGTTGTGTTTGAAGTCTCACTTTAAATATCCCTTAAAAAATATTCTTTGATTTCTGCAAGAATACTTTTACTTGCATATAATCTGGATTTTGTTTTGCCAGCAAGTTTTTTCTTTAACTGAACAAGCTGTGATATTTTGATACTTTTTAAATAAAGAAATCAACTTGTAAAAAGCTCAAGTAAAAGTAAGTAAGTTTCTTTTAAAAAGTAAACAGGTTGTTGTACTTGAGCGTGTTGAGGCTGCAGTAGCTTGGTGGTCAGTGCTGCAGTCTTGTAATCCTGGGGCTGTGGGTTCGAGC